CCTGGCCGTCGGGTCGAGGTACGCTGTAGGGTCGTGCGGGATACGCATGACCTGGCATCCCTGATCCTCGGTTGGGCGCAGCTGAAGCTTGAAGCGGCAAGATAGGCACGGAGCAGCGTGGTCTAGTACAGCGAGTGCCAAGGTAAGGGAGTACTTGACCTCGCACTCAGTGGCTGAGGCGCCTATTGGGATAGCTATGTAATCCCTGCGCTTCCAATGTTGTTTGAAGGCGGGGTCGCGAGCTGGCGCAACCCATGTGCCCGATCCCATCGGGTGGGGCACAAAGGTGGCTGGAAGCCAGAGATTTGAGGCGAGTAGGAAGCGATGGAAAAAGGAGCCAGCAGTGTTGACCTGCTCCGCATGATGTGGGCCTATGGCCGCTGATGTTTGTGTGCCTACTGCAGCATTGGAGTCCATGAGGACCAGAGTGGGAGTGGGCTGCGGCAAAATATGGTCATGCACATGTCGAAGGTGCTGCCACCATGCGGCCTGCTCATGGAGAGGACGACCGACCGGAATGGTGAGCATGCGCCACTAGGATGCTGAAGCGTAGGCCGTTCTGACTTAAGACGGCCGCGATGATTCGCGGGTCTTGGTGTACAATGCGCACATTATGCGACTTTATAGGAAAAGTGGGGATGCCTTTGGCATTAGGAAATACGGGCGTGCTAAGGTTGACCCAGAGCGCGCAGCCGCAAGCATGAGTACCCGCTTGCGACTCGGACAGAAAAACTATGTACGGGGGGACTTGGCGTTTGCCAGAGCCCTTGGCGTTGACTCGCGTTTCTTGCATACCTATAACATCGAGCCCATTGCGTTGAAAGGCGGCGGCCAACTGATGTAGGCGTCCTTTGACGGCCACACCCGTAAGTCTGGCTCTTTGGGAGATGCGCGATGCAGGCGTGAGAGAAAGAATGTTGGCTGAGGCTAGCCTGAGGCAGCAGGATGCGGTGGCGTCTGCGATAGGGGTTGCCTCCTCGGAGAGACCTGGAAAAACATCAGCGAGCGAGGTGCGGGGGGGGAGAGGAGGATTAAGGCTAACCTGATGGTTAGGCGGGTATAGGGCGCGCTGTTGCTGGGGGAGGCATTCCAGCCAGAGCCATTCCAGGATGTGCGCATTGTCCTGGAGAAAACTCATGAGGGGTGGGAGCGTGGGAGGAGGGAGCACTGCGAGGGAATAAAGTCTGGCTACCGTGTCAACCATTTCGTTGAGTGGGTCTGCCTGGTGACCGTGCACGTGCTGCCATGTAAAGCGACGTTTCAGACCCAGGACCTTGCACAGACTGTCAAGGCGACTTCTGTGCTCTATGAGTGGCTCGGCCACAGTACCGCCTTGGGCGGTAGAGACCACGCCCATGTTGTCTGAGTGAAAGGTGAGAGGAACGGTGGGAGGAAGCGGGGACTGAAGGGCCCATAGCGCCGCCCAGGTGGCGGCATCGAATTCTGCCTTGGCAGAGACTCTCGTTGCTCCTGTCATCTCCGGTGTGGGACACCCGAGGAAGCCGAGGAAGTGACGAGTGCCGTTGAGCCTTGCAAAGACCAAAAAAGCCCATGCTGGCGGGCCAGCGAGATCTCCTTTGGAGGCCCCTCCACTGGCGTCGGTGTATATATCCGCGGAGTCGAAAGCCGCGTAGGGTGTGTCAAAGGCGAGGCTGTGCCATGTAGGGAGTGAGGAGGAGTGGAGGGCGGGAAAAATGGCATCAAAATCCCTGACCAGCTGGATGGAGGTAGCCGTGAGAACCGGTAGCATCCATCCCATGGGCGGGGGCGGGCTGCGACGTATGCCTTGTCGTCTGCCCAGGTTCACCCGTGGGCAGTGTCCAGGGGGGCGACCTGAAAAACCGTGCCGTCGCGCGCTGCCTGGGCCAGGTCGTCCTGAGCAGCCTGTGCTGCGTGGGCCTCGGCTTCGGCTCGAAGGTCCGCTGCCTCTGCGTCTGCCATTGCATCGGCAAGACAGCGGGAGGCAGCTGTGGCGGGGGCCCCTACACGGGACGTCAGCTCGGCCTCGGCTGGCGCTCGCCTGGGGCGGCGGGAGCCGCGAGGGCTCTTGCTGCGCGCCGCCTGCTTGCCTTCAAAATCTTCCTCGCTGATGCCTGAAAGCGCGCGCTCGTCGGCCTGACCCGCGCGTGCGGATCTGCCCCTGGCTTGGGCGCTTGCGCTGCGGCGTGAGGATGCCATGGTGACTGGCTCCCCTTTATCATCAGAGAGGTCCCATCCGAGCTGGCTGGCAGAACGGGTCGGCGGGGGCAGTACGTTAGGCTCCCCTACGGAAGCTGCTGCTGGGCTCGACTGGTTGGTAGTGGCCTCTCCTGGTGGCGCAGTGGTGGACGCCTCCCCTGTCGGCGTCTCGGGCACTGGCGCTGGCCCAGGTTTAGGCACAAAACCTAGACGGAAAAGCGGGCCCGCTTTGACGGGAGCGCGGGCATGTCCAGAACCTGACGGTGCGGTGGCCCCCCCCCGGGGCGTGGCACCGTGGCTAGAGACGGCGGCTGGCACTAGTTGCCCGGCCTTGATCTGTGAGGCTAGGGTGTCTACTGCATTGCGCATGGCCTGGGCCTGGGAGTCAAAACTTGCCTTGATGGTGGCTACCTCCCTGGCCATGGCCTCGGCGTTGCTCTGCATGGCCGCGACGAGTGAAGTGATGTAAGGCTGTTCCAACCCTTGGAAGCCTGGGAGGGGCGCGGGGCATTGGAGGAGCGGAGGGGGGGGCGGCGCGGCAGTGAGGGGCGTGGCCGTTCCTAGGTCGGGCGTGCCGTCTCGATCTTCGCCGGCGTGCGATGCAGAGAGTGCCGCAGAGCGCTGTACTGCTCCAGGCTCGACCGCCGCCTCCCCCATCATGGGCGAATCAGTGATGGCAGCGACTGGCGGCGCCTGCGATTTGAAATAAGCTAGTAATGTAGATGCCTGGCTGAGGTCCGCTTGCGCGGTTTGAAGGGCCAGGGCGAGGTTGCGCACGTGCTCCTCTGCCTGAGCTTGCTTAGCAGCCAATTGCTCACAATCGGCATGCAGAGAGGCGACCACGTGCTCTTGCTCGCTAATCTTGGCTAGCGGATCCCTCGCATTTGCCAATTGAAAATTAACTAATGAAATCTCCTCACGGATCTCGGTGATACGCATATCGGAGTGTCCTAGGAGGGTTGAGGCCCTGAGCTGCAGGATCAGCGCATCCTTGCTCATGGCAAGGGCCTTGCGGTGCTCCAGCAGGCGGTCGGGCTCTAGCGGGGGATAAATCCAGGCTGAATGAGAGTGCGCCTCGTCTGGGGTGAGGATAGGGCATTGCGCTGTGAGCTCTGCTACTGAGAGCTCAGTGGCTGGATCCAACGCGCCGAGAGAGGAGAAGGCTTGGTCGGCCATGAGGAACGGAGACTGCTGCACAGAGGCAGGGCCGAAGAGTGTGGGGGAGGTGGCCTCACCTTCGGGAGGAGGCGCAAAAGGCGAAGGCTGCGACCGGGGAGACTGCCCGATGATTCCCGTGTCCTTGGCGCCGTGCGGGGTGCCAGGGGCCTTTGAGGCGGGCTGCCCCCCTTCGCTGCGCTGGGCCTCACGGGCCCTGCGAGCCTCGTCCTTCTCCCGCTTCTTGCGCTCCTTGCTGGAGAACACTTCTGGCTGGACCGTGTGGTCTCCTGGGGGTGCGGGGAGTAAGCCGTACTCCGCTGCCCATGCAGCCACCTGGTCGAAAGATGGCGGATTTGACGGAGCATGGCCTTTGCCCATGTGTGCCCCACCCGTGCTTCCAGAAAAGGAGCGTGGGCCCTTGTGGCCCGGCCATGGGCCCGCACCTTGCAGGGGCTTGTGCTGCTCCTGACCTTTGGCGGGGCCGGGTGTCGCCTGCTGGGGTCCTGCCGCCCGAGTCGGAAAACAGGTGGGACATGAAACGTCAAAAGTGGTATTGGCCCGGCCGCACTGCAGGCAATACCAAAGCTCGGGAGGGGCGCTGCCTTTCTGGTGCACTGGCTGCTGGGGGGGAGGAAAAAAGTCAGCAGGCAGGCGCGTGGCATATAGGGACGGGGAGGGAGGAGCAGCCATACGCTGCGTGGGGGAGGTAGCCATACCGTGCTGCTGCAGCCCTAACGTTGGCGAGAGAGGCGACGCGCGAGGCGGGGGCAAGGTCGTGGGGACAGCGCCTTGCTGCGGGAGGCCCTGGAAAGAGTGGTGGTGAGAGAGCATCATTGCGGCTTTATGCACTCTTAAAAGTGTGCGGGCGTTTGCGCGCTGTTTGCGCGCTCTGCGATGATGAGCGGGCTCGTCGCGAGGCCGCTGGGGGTAGGAGGGAGGCGAGTAAGCAGGCGTCGCGCCTGGCGGGTGGCGGCCCTTTCGGGCGTCGCGGCGGGGATCGGCGAGGAACCGGTTTGCTAACCGCTCGAGCCAAACCTACGGGCAGGGGTGGAGGAGGGAGAGCGCTCACGTGGCGGGGCCCGCTGCGGAGCGGCCAGGGTGGCCAGCCGGTGTTGCAGCGAGCGCGGGGCGGCGTCGTGGCCGCAGAAGCACCGAGGGGGAGAGCACCGGATGGTGGCAATTGGGGCCTTGAGATATTGAGGTCCGAGTTGTGGAGGTAGGTTGGCACCCCTCCCTACGGCCGTCTGCGTTGGCCGAGAGGCCGTAGGGAGGGCCTCGGCCCCCTCCCGTGCCTACTGACGGCAAGGTGTGCTGGTGCAGTGGGGGAGAGGGCGGCCCAAGCAGCCCCTATGATGGCAGCCGTGAAGGTTGTGAGGCCTATGATGGTCTTCACCGGAGGGGCACGACGACGCGGCGACGAGGGAGGCTGCAGACAGCAGAGGGGAGGAGTGGTGGTGGCCAGCGTGGGCGGCGGGTGCAATGGTGACGCGGGCGTGAGCTTCGTCTCCCGTCGGCGCCTCTTCCTCCTCGTCCTCGTCCTTCTCGAGATCGTCCTCCTCCTCCTCCTCCTCCTCCTCCTCCTCCTCCTCCTCCTCCTCCTCCTCCTCCTCGTCCTCGAGCCCCCCCGCCGCTGCGCGCGTCCCCGTCGTCGCCCCGCCAGCGAGGCGGCATGGCGCAGGCCCAGAGCCGCTACAGGCTGAGCGGCGCCGAGCGGGCCATGCTGCAGGGCACCTGGCCGCTTGGCCTGCTGGATGACAGGGCGCGGGAGCCGCGCATCGTGGAGAGCGCGGAGGAGTTCCTCCGCGAGGTGTTGGTGGGGGAGCACTTGGAGGACTTCGTGGTGCCGTCCTCCTCCCTCTCGCCTCCTCGCATTCTGTTCGGCGTGGGTGATATCGTTGACCGTTTGGGTTTCGTGGGATATTCGGCTGCGGCGCGCTCGTTTCCCTCGGTCAGGCCACGGATCACTGCATTGGCTTACATATCGCAGGTCGGCTCGCGTTGGGATACCGGTTGACCTGGCGACATGTTGATTCGCACAGCGATTGAGGCCGAGCAGTGTGAAGTTGTGTAATCGCGCTCCCTCCTCCTCCTCCTCCTCCTCCTCCTCCTCCTCCTCCTCCTCCTCCTCCTCCTCCTCCTCCTCCTCCTCCTCTCATAAAGAAAGAAAATGGAGGACTTCGTAGTGCTGCCAAAAGGCACCGAGCTGCTCGCCCTCTCCTGGGAGGACTGCCTGCCCGACGACATCCGCGCGGCCCTCCGGGACTGCAACAGCGCCACCGACTTTGCGAGGCAGCTGCGGGCGAGGCCCGAGGTGGTGGAGCGGTACCGCGCGGACATCGAGTACGTCGACAGGAAGCGCCAGCAGCGCGACATCCTCCGCAAGGACAAGCTCGAGCTGGGCAAGCGCATCGACGAGGCCATCCGGATGGCCGCGGCAGGCGAGGCGGACGCGGATCTGTTGTACATTGCCGAGATGAGACTGAGGGTTGAGGCCCCGCACCCCCTCGGCGGGGAGGGCGTGAAGACGGTGTGCCGGCGGGATGTGAAGGACGTCCTGGGACCTTATGCGAGCTGGACCCTGTATTGGGATCGCTACGACGAAGGTTTTTTTGCCGGCGGCGCTAGGAGCGGCAAGGGTCTGCATGTGGACCAGGTGTTGTGGAGCAACGTGGGCAAGAACTGGAGCGGCCACAAGCTGATCGCTGCCTGGCCCCCAGGGGAGGTCAGCAAACAGGTGGCTCTCGAGCTCTACGACGTGCTGCTGTCTCCGCCGCTCTCCGAGCGTGAGCTGCAGGTTCTGGGGATGGCCGCCAAGGTCGTCCTGATTCGGCCAGGCGACGTCTACCTCTTCAGTGGTGGCGTAGCTCATGCCGTTCTCTGCGTATCCGATGAGATATGCCTCGGTGCGTACGAGTCCTTGGTGACGCTGCACCCGAAGCATGTGGCCCACTTTCTGCGGACGAGCGACAGCGAGGGCCCCTTCTGCCTCGACAAGTACTCCATGGACGAAAAGGAGTTTAGGGACACCAAGGATGATTGCATAGACCAGCTGGAGGACGCGGCGGCGCAGCTGGCACAGGGCGGGCCCGCGTCGGCGCCGGTGCCGCTGGCGGGCCCGTGTGCGTCGGCCGCCCCGGCGCTGTGGCGCGGGCTGCTCGCTGCGCTGCACTCTGACGACGGACTGCAGCGCACCCTGCGGGATCACTACGCGAGCTGCGTGGCGCTATGCGCGGCCGACGCGTACTTCCGGCAGAACCTGCCGCAGCGTGTCCTGCACGCGGCGGCGGCCTGCGGCTGGCGCGGCGCTGCCGCGGCGGCACCGAAGCGGCGGCGGCTGTTGCTGGGCGGCGGCGGGGCCGCCCAGGCCACGTCTGACAGCACGTCGTCTGAAGACGATGCGCCCAGCAGTTGCGTGCCACGGACAGGGGGCTGCACCATATGACATCCCAGCATGGGAAATATCGGCATCATTCGCGTAGGCGTCCCAGATGGGGTCCGAGTTGATGGGTTTGGAGGATCCCGCCGAGGAGTTCGATTTCCTACACGCCGACGTCGCCGATGCATCGCCGACGTCGCCTGTGCGTCGCCAATGCATCGGCGATGCATCGCCTATGCATCGGCGATGCGGCGCGATCCTCCGACTCTATCTACTCCGACCCCATCTAGGAGGCCTCTAATTCAGCACCGTCTCCACCATCATCGTCATCAGTAGTGCCATCGCCGTGAAGAAGTCGCTGACCCCAGTAGTGCCATCGCCGTGAAGAAGTCGCTGACCCAGTCAGTGCTTTGGTGGCGCCTTTCGCAGTACCGGGTACTTCGCGAGGGCGTGTACGGGTACCGCACGAAGGTGCCCAGCGGGGCATTCTTTCGGATCCCTTGAAGGCGCTCTGTGCTGCCCTCCCCTTGCGGGGCCCTCCATGCCCAGAGTCGTGGTGTGCCTCACGTGTGGTGCCCCCGCAAGTCATGTTCGATTGCCGGTCTATCGATCATCCAGGGTCTCCTGCAACGTGCCATTACATATGGATTCTGGCACTCGAACGACGTTCAAGGTCAAGGTCCAGGCACTATGACTGGCGCTACTAGCATTTGCATGTGCCAGTTTGAGCTGCAGATGCAGTAATTTAATTCGTGGGGGTAGTGAAAGAGCCCGCACTGGTGGAAGTGAGGGTGGCAGTGGTAATGGCAGTGTTAGTAGTAGCGATGGCAGTGGCAGTGGTAAAGCTAGTGGAAGTGGCAGTGGTAGTTCGAGTGGTAGCGGTAGTTGCAGTGGTAGTGGTAAGGATTGTTGTAGAGGCAGAGTTAGCGCTAGCAGTAGTGGTTGAGGGCACGTAGATTAGCTCAAATAATGTTATGTTGTAAAACGCGAGTTGGCTTGAGCCATCTATGACAGGTCTCAGCAGGGGGCTGGAATTAGTCCCATCTGATTTTCTAGAAGTGCGTTCTGTTGAGTTTTCACCATGTGTGGCTTTTGAGAATAATCAACCAGTCGGTGCCCAAAATCCCATCTCACGGTCTCAATACCATGTTGTCGCCAGGAGCGAGGGGCCAAGGGGGGCGCGACAGAAGAAACACGCAGGAGCAAGGCGCAAGGTGGAGGGCGACAACAGACGAGCGGACGGGTGGCGGATTGGAGCAAAGTACCCATGGTGATGGGTCGCCGCAGTTAACTACGAGGGTAACGTCGGCGTTGGCACGATGAACGATAACGGTGGTGATGACGATCATGTTGATGACGTTGGTCATACGAGATCCGCTTGAAGCGGCAAGAACAGCAACCCACCACACACATACACCGCCACAGCGTCGGCGCCAGCACAGTGAACGACAATGGTGGTGACGGCGATCCTGGCGACGACGCTGGTCATAGGAGATCCGCATCGAGCAGCAAGAACAATAACCCCCCCACCACCCACGGGCGACCGTCACGCGCACGCCTTGCCTCCCGCCTCTCGCGCGACGTCCATCCACTGCCTCCACGGATCTGCACCCGTGCACGCCTCGAGCCTGCGGGATTCGTTCGTTCTTCGCGGTCAGGCCAGCACGTGCGGTTCGCCAAACACGTGCCGATGCGCGCGTTACTTGAGCACGCAAACAACGGGATGGGGGTGCATCTCCAGCCTTCCCGCGCTCGCGGCGGCGGCGGTGATGGCAGAGGAGGCGGACGACAGAGAGTGCAGGGAGGAGGCTGGGATAACTTACTGGTCCAGCTGGTGAGGTTCCAGCAGCGCAGGCTGCACGCACGCTCCCTCGTCACAGGCTTATCTGCAGCTGCGCTCCTTGCAGCTGGTATCGGTCGACGTGTCCGTTTCGACGTCCCACGAACCACTGCACGTGTCCCAGAAGATCGGCGCGGCCCGTGGAGAAGGGAGGGCACCGTGGCCATCTGCCGCCACGACGCTGTCTCCGGCTGCTGCCCAGAAGAGCCATAACAATCCAAAACTGCGGGCGATGCCCGGCTCGATTGCAAGGATGTCGATCCAAAACAAAGAGAGCATTCATCATTTGCCTCCCAACGTTTCATTTTGTTGAGTTAGGTTGCTTGTTGGCTGTTTAAGCTTGCGCTCTGGCTTGCATTGCGGTCCTCAGAAGTTGATGAGGGAAAGGTCGGAGTAATGGGGAATCAAGAGAATAGGAGATTGGGAGGAGGTGATAGGGAATAAAAGTAATCGGTTATACTCTTGCCCTTCATTCTCCTTGCGCTCTGGACACCTGCCAAAGGGCACTCTCCAGGCACATCCAAGTTGTTCAAGCGGCAGCTTCAGAGAGAGAGAGAGGTATTCAATAATCGATATGTCGTTGATGTTATCCATGCTTGAAAATGTGAGCAGGGGGACGGAAGGAATGGACGGGAGGAGGAAGGATGGGGACATGGGGAATTGAACGGGCGGATGGGAGGGAGGCAGGGAGGGTGGCAGGGCTTTACACAGCAGTGCGGTCGGACCGAGGTATAAGATCGAGGTCGGTCTAGGGAGGGTACCTTGATGTTCGTCGTGTCTGTTGGATGTTATTGTGCATCCTGTGGAGGATACCCTTGGATGTTCTTCAGTTTGGTCGGCGGAGTGCCGCATGTTCGTGGAGGATGGTCTTCTGTCCTAGGTCCGGCCGTGTACGATCAAGCAGATTGGGTCAGGCAATGCCCAGGCGACGCAGAGCACTGCAAGGCAAGGACGGCCAGCGCACGGCACGGCACCTGGTAGTGAAGGCGAGCCAGCGGACGCGACGGGAACTTTTTGATTTGCAGGGCGAGAGCGAACCTCTTCCGCTGAAAGCTAAGCGGGACGCGCACAGCCTTGATCAGCAGAGAGGGGGCGGAAGAAGGCGGGGCCTCACGCGGCCAGGAGAGGGCGAAGCCCGGGGATCAGCGCGACGGAAACGCGTATCGCCGTAAAGCGTGGCAACGGCAGCCGGACCACTGCCCCGCCGGGAGGCACGGCTGGGCAGGCCGAGCCACGGGAGTGTACACCGCACGACGAGGCAGGCAAGAGGCGGCGGGCGGCGCAGGGCAAGGCAACGGCCAGCGCGCCCGGGCACGGCAGGGAGATTCGGGGGCGGACAGGCCTCCTGCCCTGACACGTCGATGAAGGGATTGGCCGTTTTCGGTTCGCGAGAGGGCGCCGCGGCCGTCATTTTTGCGGGTCCAGGTCCGCCGGTTTCGGTCCCAGGCCGTTTTCACTAAGGGGAGGTGTACTAAAAGGAGGTTTGTCCACCGCCGAGAGATGCTAGGCACGCATGCTCGGGCAGGTTCAGATCGAGCCAGGGCGGCGAGGCAAGGCAAGACAAATCGGGCCGTGGAGAAGCACGAGGCAGACAAGCACGGCAAGGCGGTGCACGGCAGAGCAGTCCAAGGCAAGGCGTGGCCAGGGGCATCGGCAGCCTGCCACGCGAAGGGAGGCAGCGCCGCCACCGAGACGGGCACCCCGCGACGCGGTGATCCTGGCAGCGCGCCGGAGGGCGCCCGGAAGGCGGCATCGCAGCGCCACGCTCCGGCACGTCCCGCGGTCAGCACCTGTCAGGACTGTGGCCTGGCTTGTCGCTCCGCGGGTTCTGGCCCACCGCGCTTCGGCGCAGCCCGCCATCCACGGCCCGGTCCCCGCGCGTCACCGTTTCCCGAGCTTTCCCCGAGCTGCTCGCCCTGCAGCTCGGAGCGACGCGCCATCCGCTGGCAGCGGACAGCGTGCTGCCGGGGCCGCCGCCGCGGCACGCGGAGCACAAGGTCCCGACCGCACCGGGGTGGCGCTGAAGGAGACACTCCTCCTCCTCCTCCTCCTCCTCCTCCTCCTCCTCCTCCTCCTCCGCCTCCTCCTCCGCCTCCTCCTCCTCCTCCTCCTCCTCCTCCTACTGCTCTTCCTCCTCCTCCTCTGGGCGGGCGCAGGCTGTGGCCCGCCCGTTTTGGGGGGGGAGGGAGCTGGAGCCCTCAGCGGCGCCAGCGCGCTGCAGCGGCAGGCCTCGGCAACATCTGCCGAGTCGCCTGCGGGCTCGCGAGGAAGATGCTTTTCGGTCCGCGGCGAGTGGGGTCCAACAAGCGGTCGGGCTGATGGAGGGGCGCGACCGCAGCTATCTGCGGCGAAAGCAGAGGAGGGATAAGGAGGGGCAGAACGGGTGAAGCGAGGAAGGCGCACAGATCCTTGTGGAGACGAAGGCTTGATCGATGGGGGCGGGGTGCTCGGATCCCGGCGACGGATAAGTGGAGGGGGGGGGTGCGCGCGTTTTGGTTTTCGCTTGTAGCGCATTCGGCCGACCTCGTGTAGTCGGACGCCAGCTCGAAAACCTGAGAAGGAGTGGGGCGTCATGCTTGTTATGATGTGTGAGGCTCTGTTTCGCCATGGTTCCCAGAGTCGCCGCGCACCAACCTTCTGATTACAGTGTCACTGCAAAATCCATCTCGCGACTGGGCGTCCTGGATGCACATTCCTCTTCACAGTCCTCGCACAGCTCCAGCCAATGTTTACGCTGTGCTCCTGCCTGTTTTGGATCAAATCAGGTTAGCTCAATATTCGAATGGTTGATGCGCCTTTGCTGGCAACGGCACGCAATGACTCTGAATATTCACTTGGCATCCTTGGGAGCAGACCTTGGGGTTGTGCAGGCGGACTTATCGTGGACCCAGCAAGATGTGTACATGGCAGCCTGCAAGCAGGCATTGCTTATCGAAGACGAGTTCCGCCTTCAACACTTCGTTCTCCCCGACGGTCGCACATGGGAAGCTGAGCAGACCGTGCACCAGCTGGGGCTCTCGGACGGAGATCTGATCCAGGTCGTGAACGAAGACATCCTTCCTGGAACTTGGGTAGGCACTAACTTTCCAGGCACGTGGGGCTGTGTTGGAAAATTCTGCGAGGTAAGACTAACATTGTCAGCAAGTGGGGCGTTTGAGTTGTGCCTCAGTGGAATATTTCATGATTGGGAAAACGAGTTCAATCGGCACTGCAGAGGTGTTTTCAGTGGCTCCTGGGCGCCTGGTTCGCAACTGATCCGCGACGGCTCGCGGCACGTAATCTTACAGCGCATACAGCGAGGAGGCGATGGCCTACTCAGTTTGAGCGAAGAGGGCGTCAAGGAAAGGTTACATGGTCGTTCGAAGCTGAGTTGTAAAGAGATTGGCGTGGAGGAAGTGATCAGATCTTCAGTGGAGAAGCATGGTGAAGCAGCTGGAGCGCATGCGGATGAGTTCAGCATAGTGCTGCCTGTTCATCAACCATCGCCATTGCAATTGCGCTTTTGTCACACAGCAGGCTGGGCGAAGGAGCCTTTGATCTTGACGCGGAGTGAAGATCTGGCTACGCTAAAAGAATCTGTCCTGGCACAATGGGAGGGCGACGATGATGACGATGATGATCATTCCGACGATGACTTCTGAAACTTCAAAGCTGACAAGACGGACGCTTCGCCAAGGCAGACGATTGCGTATTATGGTGTTTGTTCAGGTCGCCCGAGTAGGATTTGAACGTAAAAGTATATTACCAGACAGGCACCATTAAGCCATGACACAGTGGTTCGATCTCGTACCCTGCACTGGCTGAGCTACTTCCTCACGAACCATACATCTGCACACTGCTCTGCCGAAACCTGACGCCACTGCATAGCACGGTCTCTGTCAATAGATTCTGAAGGTAGGAAGCGAGGGACCAGGAAGCAGGTGTGAGCGTAGGAA